TCGGTAAATATTTATCTAACTAAATTATGTAATTTGATAAAAATTCAGCTCAAGTTATAAAAATTGATAGTCATTTATTATACTACACATAATTTAGCATTATTTTAGCATTTAATCTTTCGTCAAATATTCAGTTGATTCAATTATATGATTTAATATAAATTCAGCTTAATTTACAAAAATCAATAATAATTTGTCATACTACATATAATTTAACATAATTTTAACATTAATACCTTTGATTATAATATTCAGCAAAATTTCAGTTAGATTCAAAATTTGATAACAAATTGATAGTATTTCACTGATCAAAATCTGTTAAACCAATTTTTGCGAAAATTATAAAAATATTCTGAGAGTAATTATTCAAAAAAAATGATACAATTATCAATAGAAATTGTCTTGAAGAAACAATATATTCATCTCTAAAAAGATGATAGAAAATGTCCTTAAGGAATGATAAATGCATCAATAAAGAGATTATAGAAATCATTCTAAAGGAATGATACAATCATCTCTAAAGAAATTATAGAAATCATCTTTAAGGAATAATACAATCATTGTGAAAGAAAAAAATATAATTATCCTAAAAAGATGATAAAAATTATTTCTAAAAAAAATGATGCATTATTATTCTAAAAAGCATGATATTTAATTATTCTATTAGAATAATACATTATCTTTCTGCAAGAATGATTTTTTATCATTCTTTTGGAATGATATATCATTATTCTGAAAGAACAATGTTATTTTTTATCATTCTGAAAGAATGGTTTTCTATATTGTTCTTAAGGAATGATTAAATTATTATTTTGAAAGAATAATTTTATTGTTGTTCTTAAGGAATGATCAAACTATCATTTCTTTAGAAGGATTTTCTGTATTATTCTTAAGGAACAATTAAATTATTATTCTAAAAAAATAATTTTTATAATTGTTCTTTTAGAATGATTAAACTATCATTCCTTTAGAATGATTTTATTATCATTTTTAAGAAACAATCATATTATCATTCCTTTCAAACTATTTTGTCATTATTTGTAAGAAATGATCAAATTACTATTCCTTTCAAATGATTTTACAATCAGATAATGCAAAATTATCTATTTGAAATATTTATAATAAATAATATAAATAATATCTAAATTTTGAATTAATTAAAATTTTTGCTCAGTTTATAATATTGTTACAAAGAAATATTAGTAATTTAATTGTTCTATTGTGTTTTATTAGTTTCAGGGTATTGTGTCTCATTTCTGTTTAGTTTAAATTTAAGTTTTATTAGTATTTAGTTAGACTTTTGTAGATCAATTGCTTAATTGTTTTCTGGCCAAATTGTCTGCAGGCCAAATTGTCTCCTGGCAAATAAGTCATCCAGCTTTTATATTTTGAAGACAAAAAGGCCTTTGAACAATTAGTCCTTGTTGGGTTTTAAATATAAAAGAGATGAAATTTTGCTTAAATAGAACATATCAAGTGTTTCCTATATTTTTAGATATAAATGATAGATAATATTAGCATATATCTTCTTTCCCTTTTATTTGTAATAATAATGAAAATATATAATAAATTGCATATCTGATCGTATAGATCACCAACGATTGAGGCAATACTTTATTTACGTAGATTTATGTTAGATTTCTCTTATTGTTAATAAATAAGTTTAATTCATTTTAATAAAGAACTCTTCCGCTTATCTTTTCTATTGTTTATAACCAATAAACATCACGAATTGCATGTAACAGTCAGTATAAAGCTGATAATTTTCAAAATATTCTAAAAAAATTTTTTTTTTCTTTTTTTTCTAGCAAAGCAATTTTTAAGCAAAAATTTAACTTTTTCTTTCTTTTTTCTTGTTTTTTTTTTAGGAAATTCTTATTTTAGAATTAAAGTAAACAAATTAAAAGTGACTTTTAAATGATTTTAACTCTTTTTCTTTATATTTCTTTATTTTTTAAGATATTCTTTTTTTAAAACTAAGGTAAGCTTTTCAGAGGTGACTTTGGATGGGTTTTAAACTTTTTTTTCTTTTTAAGCCTTTTAGAAGTAGTTTTTTAACTATTTTCCTTTACTTTCTTTAGAAATATATTAAGGTAAACCTTTTAAAGGTGATATTTAGGTAATTTTTTAACTGTTTTCTTTACTTTTTCTTTACTTTCTTTAGAAATATATTAAAGTAAACCTTTAAGAAAGGTTTTTTAGTGGTTTTTAACATTTACTTATTTTTGCTTATCTTTAAAAAATCAAATATATTTTAATAAGTTATATAATTCTTAGTTTAATTAAATTTTTTAATTTAATATTATTTATTTAAACAATAATATTCTATTATAAAAGATTTTTAAAAATTTTTTTAATAATAAAAAATTATGTAAATAAAATAATAAATAATCTTTTAAAAATTAGAAATAAAATTAAAAATTTACCAGATCAAATTAAAGATGAAATAAAAAATTCTGAATATGATATATTAATAGCAACAACATATTAATAAATAAAATTCTTTAATTATAAAAATAAATTAGGAATTGCAGATAGAAGGAATTTCAAGTAGGGCTAAAATAGGAGTTCTGGAAATTTTTTCCAATAATATAAAAGATTTCTGACTGCTTACAAATCAATTCTAGTTATATGAATCAATTATTAAATTCAAGCCTTTTATGTGATTTAGCTCAACTCTAGTTATCAAAGATATTAGTATTGAACTTGATTAGAAATTAGCCTACCTGTTAGATACCAAGAATTACGTTATATCATATAGCTATTCTAGCATAATTTTAATTTCAAATAATATATCAAAAAAAATTTTACTATTCTATTTGCCTCTGAAGAACCTATTGAAATCAAGGAATGAAGTAACATAATTTAAGCTGAGTCTGATATTGCAAACCCAATATAAATAATAACTTTTATGTTATTCTGCTTGCTTCTAGAGGGACCATCAAGTCGCCAAAGCATATTAACATAATTATATTAAATATACTTTAGCGACTTGAGTTAGGTTATGATGGTAATGATATAATCTAATGGTAGTGACATAATATAGTAGTGATATAATCTAATGGTGGTGACATAATCTAATGATGTGATAAAATCTAACGGTATGATATAATTTAATAGTAGTGATATAATCTAATGATATGATAAAATCTAACAGTAGTGATATAATCTAATAGTGGTGGTATAATCTAATGTCATATTTTAGCGGTGATATTATAATCTGATGTCATAATCTAATGTGACAACATAATCTACAAGTAGTTTCATAACATCTGGTTTGGTTATCTTTACAGCTTTCTACCTACTATTTTAATTAATTTCTGCTATATAGAGTTATGGTAGATTGATAGTGTCATATTTTATTAGCATGGTTATTATATGATCTAATGATAATGTTATAATCTGATGGAGTATATTTTTCTAATTATCTACGACATTTCTTTTTTCAAGAAACTATCCATGTATTTACATTACTCAGTATTCTTTTTATTCCTAAAAAGCTATCTATTTGTTTACCTGCTTCTGAACTTGTTTGGTGGCCTGTTAAGATATCAAAGATGCTTTTTTTTGTGCCTGTTTAATTGCCTTTTAAAATACTGAAATAGTATAAAAAAAGGCGATGGGTAGCGCAATATATTTGTGATTAATTTTTGCTAGCTCTATGGTATAACTGGTATAACTCTGATCAATCTTTTAGATATGTGATTTGAGGATCCAATTTGGTATCATGATAGCATTGTAATAGCGTCCTGATAGTGTTATGGAACTCTTCTGAAACTGTTATAGAACTGGTAGAGATCTAGAGATATTTTATTAGTTTACCAGTTTTATATTAACTTGGATGCTAAAATATTATATCCAAAGTTCTGGCCGAAATTGTTAAATAGTGTTGGCCAAAATTAAGCGAATAAGTCTTACGCAAAGACTATATCGTAGCCAAACACATATCTACTTGTCTTCTTTTACAATTTGCTTACTAGCTTGTTATATGCCTCTTTTTTTCAGAGGATGAAAAAATAAATACGTCAATAAAAGTACCCATACCTGAGCAAATACTAGTGTTAGGTTAGTCTTCTTCCATTATTTTATATAATATTTTTGAAGAAGACTATCTAAAATACATATATTTGACTACATACTAGTGTTAGGGTAGTCTTCTGCCAATATTTATATAATAGATTACGCAGAAGGCTATCCTTATATTTGCCTATTAAGAATGTAATTATTCCCATTTTTTTTACCAATCTATTATACATCTCTTTTACATCTCTTTTTATCTCTATATTACATGAAGGCTAATACCATACTCAGATACATACTAGTGTTAGGGTATTCTTCTTCCAATATTTTATATAATGAATATGGAGAAGAATATCTTAGATTATACCTATCAAGAATGCATTTATTCTTGGTCCTTTGCTAACTGTGCTATATGCCTCTTTTTTGCAACCATCGAGTATATATCTAGAAAGTGTGGTCTTCTTCCAATTTTTTATATAATATTTCTAGAGAAAATTACACTTTGATGCAATAATTCATCTGGCCTTCTTTCATGTTTTGCCATCTAAGTTTGCTATTGCTTCTTTTTTCGATGAATAAAAAAAAATAATTAAACATTTCTGATTTGTATAAAGTTATATAATTCTTCTCAAACTGACAACATGTATACCCCAATTATTTCTGATCAAACTGATCACACTGGATTTGGTCTAAAGCTTGCCCGCTATGATGATGCTGAGTCTGATGAATATTTAAGTGACTCTAGCAGTTGTACTGATAATAGATCCAACTTAGGATCAGATAATTATAATAATTGCAAGTCTAATTATGAGTCCAATAATGAAGAAGTTTCCTGCGCTTCAACTAGCACTACCAAAGCTATAAAAGAATGAAAGGTTAATGTGATATATACTTTGAGGCAAGAAAACTTCAATGATAAATTTTCTTCAAAAGATTGGCTAAATGCCATTTAGGGGATTCTCTCATCATCGCCTAAAAAAATGTCAAATGATAAAGGGTCATTGGATTATCTTCCAATCTATTCATTTCTCTTTATGAATGAAAAAGGCTCTAGCTTATATAACGCTTATGACCAAAGTGAGATAGAAGATAAATTAGTTATCAAAATCGACTAAAATGGTGATTATGCCCAAATTTTCAGTTGCCGATAACATTGCTAAAGTTTATGGCTTACCTGGGATTCATGAATCTATTAATGATCAAAACCTTTAAGAGCCGTGATTGACATAGATGCTTCACAAGAAGATATAGAAACAACTGATATTAAGATACAAGAAGTATTCTTTCGAATCTGCCTATCTTTTATAAGAGTCTTGTATCAAATTCTTGATTGTAGCTGGGAGAAAATTCTCAATGGTTTAGTAATCGCTATATCATCAGATCCTAACAAGTATAGTTACCATATTTTATACGTACTGTCTCTTCTTATTGATCATTATGAACTCAAAGTATTTACTAAATTAGTATATACCATAACTGGTGAAAAATTCAGCAAGTTTATTGATCAAAAATTATCTGGTCAGAATTTTAACCTTTGCCTAATTGATTTGGCAAAAAAAAGGTCACGTAAAATGCATTCTTCAATTCTTTTTAGATAATGGTTAGAATAAGCTCAATCATATTAGAATTCAACCACCTACTAGTTTGGGACTTGAAGTAAGACCTCAGATGCTTAGATTTGAAAAAAATAATAATCCACTAAGAATAATCGTAGGTCAGGATGTATTGCAAAAATACGCGAAACTTGTTTTGCAAAAGTATTCTAACTATTTTAGGAATTAGACTATCAAAGAAAAGGACTCAGAAAACTTCATATATTTCAACTGGAAAGGTCCACTAGAATGCCTACTATATAAATGTATACATGATAAGGATCAGCGGTAATTCAGTCATGTATATGTCAGCAGTGAAACATTCATTGTAAAATGCTTTCAGTAAGATAGTGATGAACCTGAAGAAGTTTTTGAATGCGACTCATCTATCATAGAAAAATTAGACAAGAAAATAAAAATTCTTCACAATCATCTCACAAGGTAAAAGCCACCAATTTTCCTAAAGCCTTCGTAAAATTTCCATCTTAGGTTAAGTATAATAAACCCCTTACAGCAACAAAAACATATGAGAAGAGGTATATAAAATCATTATCTAATGAAGGTGATATTTATGTTGGATCACTTTGGAAAATAGGAAAAATATATGTTCTTGAAAATTTGGCTATTTCTGATAATGTAAATTTGCTTGTATTATCTACGCGTCACTCTTACTTGAATACTATTACTACAAGACTTAATCTTAAATCATATTGCGATATTAATGGTAATATAAATCTACTTGATCATAAGAGAGTAATATGTCAGATAGAGAATCTACATCGTATTATCAATAATTGCAAATATGATAAAAAGTGTAAATGTTTTCCAAACCAATATAATTTATGGCTTGATGAAATAGTATCTATAATTGCTCAGGCACTCAGGCACAAAGTCATTTAGTAGGGCAATCAATAGAGAAACTGTATAAACTAATTCAAGAAGTGAGATGCATTATTATTATGGATAATAATTTTACTGATCTTAATATCAAATGGATTAAGACCTTTCGTAAGGATAAATTATTCTCTATTATCCACTATACTTATCAACCTCAAAAAGGTAAAATATTCTACTTGACTCTTAATAAAGAGATAGTATTAACTGAACTTTGGGATTGGGCTAAGCAGATGTCTTCATTACCTTTTGAGAATCGTAAAAATGCATCACTTATTTGCCATCTTAGAAAAGATCTACAAGGAATTGTTTATGCTCTCAAGACTGAATTTCCAGAACTAAGGATCAAGGAATATCACAGTAAATCTAATCTAATAGAAAAAGTTCAAGATTTCAGCAACGTAGAAGAATCATGGAAAGGCATTGACCTAGTTGCTTATACCAGTATTTTAAAAATAAAAGTGTCTTGCATTAATCCTAAGTTTGAACAAGCATTTTGTATCTTTAATAGTTATATAGAAACAAATGCTAGAATGAATTAGATGTTATTTTGCATGTGATGCATTAAGGATTATTTATGCTATATTGAACAAAGATCATCTAATGTTCCCATTACAGAAAAAGGATTATTTCAATGATTACTGAAGGTCAAATGCGAATGCTTTTCCTGTGAACTTCAGAATAAAGGGATTTTTCCAGATATAGATTCTAATATCCAGAATAAAGATGTGCTAACTATTCAATTGTGGGTAGCATATATGTTGGAAAATTTCTGTTCTCAACGTTTATTTGGTTAAAGAATAGTTGATTTTCTCTAAAAAGCAGGTATAGTAGTTTCTATTATAGAATTCATTCCAAAACTTGAAGATACTACGATATTGCTATCCCAAACAGTGAAGGTGAGTTCTTCTATTGTTAAAGCAGAGAAGATATCAGATATATCTAATGCTTTTATTGTTAACTATGAGACTGCTGAATTATTGGAGAATAAACTAAAGAAAACTTTAGAATAGATGCGCTCTTTAGACCAGTACATATTATGGATTGCTATAGAATTCCACCTGAATTACTAACCGAAGACTTCATCTCAAAATATAGGAATTACAATCACATGAAATAGTTTAGAGCAGTGATGTGCTTGGAAAGCTTCCAATAACTTTTTATTAGAATTGGAAGACCTATTGGAAGATTTGGAAGTATTGGAAGATTTTGATTTTCCAATAGATCATGTGTATTGGAAGCTTCCAATCAAATTTTTATGCTATTGGAATTGGCTATTGGAAGATTCCAATACTACTTCCAATATGTCCAATAGATAACTTGTATAACAATAAAAATTTTTTTAAATAAAATAAAAAATTTTCTTTTTATTTTAACATTTACAGTATCTAAAATGAATACTAGAAAAAAAAACAAACCCAAACAACACCGTCTAACATAATTTATTAAAATTCTTGGAAAACAAAATGCATGGAATAATTATGCTATTTGTCTTGCATATTCTGAGAATTTAGAAAAAAGTGAACTTTCAATGCTTACGTTTACAAATAAAAAACCACAAGTAAAAAATCATTTAAAAAATTGTGCATATTTTCAAGAAAAAATTGGATTGGTAGTAAGGAAGAAGTAGATGTTATTATTAATTTAACAGATAATGAAAATGAAGAATTAATAAGAAAAAAACATTTAAAATCAGTTTCAGATTCTGATAAGATTGGAAGAAAAAAAGTATTAAAATACTTGGAATCTATACAAAGTAATTTTGATACTTTTTTTTTAAACCAATAGAAGAAGAAATATCTTTAACTCGATCCTTTATTTCAACATCAACATCATCATCTAAATGCTGCCTTTATCCAGTTAAAACTGGTAATAATATTATGGGAAATATTCTTATTCGAACACCTACAAAAAAAGAACAACCT